CCTCGCCGCATGTGATTATAAATTGCTGAATAATAGAATATATTTACATTTCGTTTTCATTTAATGATGTTTGGGAATTATTCTATATCGAATGATAGGTATTCAACTTTGCTATATAAACACCTATGTAATATGAAATAAAGCATGCACGCGAAAATATTGGAGCAACCTCACACGTGATATGTGGCGCGTGATTTTGTCGTACGTGTCGGAGTGGTGATGTTTGGTGACGTCAGAATCGCCGGTTGATGATGTCATCGGGCAGTTTACGATTTAAAATCGTTTAAAACCGCCCGGTTCTCTCTAGACACGGGCGGTTCCTGTTTTATGTGTGGAACCGGCTCGTTATGTGGCGATTCCCGAGTTGAACCAAATGAGTTCGGCTCGACTCGACTTTTTTTTAAACCCTGGTGGAAATTGTAGGGGCCGGCTGTCCAGTTTTACCTAAATATTAGAACCTGGCAGGTCCGCTGATCCCCCTTGGAGGTAGCCGGTTGTTTCATGTGTGGAACTGGCTTGTTATGTGACGATTCCCGAGTCGAACCGAGCGAGTTCGGCTCGACTCGGCGTTTTTTTAAACCCTGGTGGAAATTGTAGGGACCGGCGGTCCAATTTTACCTGAATATTAGAACCTGGCCGGTCCGCTGATCCCCCTTGGAGTTAGCCGGTTGTCTTACAAAACCAATGAACCAATCCCACTCTATTTTTCGTAATTTGCACTAATGTCTTAACAAAAAAAAAAAGGCGGAAATGAGGAAAAAGAGAGAGAGAGAGAGAGGAAATGAGGAGAATGAGAGAGAGGGGATGACAGAAAGGGAAAAGAGGAAAAGGAGATTAAAAAAGAGATCATGTGCCATTTTGAAAGTTGTTTGGTACGGGAACATATAACAAAATGGGTTCAATGGGTTAAAGGGGGTTAGTGGAAAGGGTTTTGAGAAAATTGATGCTGCTAGATATATTTCACATTTTTGTGTCTATTTGGAATTTATACACCAAATTAAGGTATACCCAAAAAATGTTTTATTTTTTATACTTTTCCTTCTTTCTTTTTTTTCCAAAATTCCCCTTGGGCTGAGGTTTATTTTTTTTTATCTATAGTTAGATCCCCAAATTTGCAGTTCAAAATTCCAAGTTCCAAGCTAGAGTACTTTTTGCAAATCAAGCATTTCAAAATTTGAGGTTCCGAACTGCTTATTCGCTTAAAAATTGGAAAAATATCGTTGGTTCAATCTGTCATTAGCATGTTGGATGCAAATCACTACAATTACTTTTTCTCTTGAAAAAAAAAAGGTAATTGTATTGCTCTTTATTGCGTGCACTTGAAAGGAACGGCGTCAGAGCTTCAGTTCTCAAAAAAGTGATTATTCGTCCAAAAAAACAAATATCTTTCTCCCTCAATCTTTCGACAAATGAGTTTTATATTAACTGCCACGACAATAAGATTATCCCAAGAGACAGTTTAGTAACACAATATAAGCTCCTGGTTATATACATACATAAAGAGATGGAAGAGAATATGTGAAATAACTAAGCGGAAAATAACTAGGTGCTGAAATTTTAAAAATAAAAAAATTTACTTATTAGGGTTAAATTAGTTAAAGAAAAAAAAAATGAAACTCGTAACATGAGGTCAATGTTATGCAGAATGAGATAAATGGTTATATTAAGAGAGTGACAAAAGATCTTTTAGGAGAAATAAGAGAGAAAAGAAATTTTGAGAAAACTTGGTGGTAGAGTGATGACGTCAGAATGCTATTAACGAAAAACAATAGTGTTATGAGCCCTAGCAATGTAATAAATATGATCAAAACTTTGAAGGATATGGAAATATTCAAAAAAAAGCTAAACAAAACAGTACGTAAAGCTAAACTTAAGGTATATGATAATCTATACAGTAAACTGGATACAAGAAAAATTGAATAAGATGCCTTCAAATTAACAAAAATGAGAAAGAAAAAGTGTAAAAATCTAAACTATATTCAATACACTAAGAGCGCGGATCAAAGGGTCTTGGTGAATGATGATGACGTCAACAAAATCTAGAGTTTATTTTTAAAAATTATTAAATAACGAACACACTGTGAACAAAGCGATAGAAGGAACTGTTAGCATAAATAAGGGCGAATGTCATAGATACATTCATAGGATTAGGATATCAAAAGTAAAAGAAATCTTGAAAGTGATGCAAATAGGAAAGGTTTTAAGATCAGATGGTATCCCAATAGAGCTTTGAAAGTGCACGGGGGAGATCGGCAATGACTTGCTAACCGAGTTGTTCAACAAAGTGTTGAGAACAAAGAAAATATCAGATGAATAGAGGAAAATCACTATGTTACCTATTTACAAATAAAAAAGAGACATACAGAGTTGTGCGAACTACCAATAGATCAACCTTATATGCCACACTATGAAGCTACAGGAGAGAATGATTGAACAACTAGCGATTGAGCAACACCTAAATCATAAAACAAATGTATCAGAAAACTAATTCAAGTTTATGCTAGGGAGGTCAACAGTTGGGGTTAATTTTCTACTTAGGTAACTTATTGAGAAGTTTAAGATGAAGTTAAAAGACCTCTACATAGTCTTTATTGATTTAAAAAAAGTCAATACCTCTTTGTCTTAGTTATGGATGACTTAACTAGGCACCTACAAGATGATGTGCCATGATGTATGTTATTCACAGACAACACAATTTTATTCCATGTGACTCGAATCCGTGTCAATATAAAGTTAGAACTTTGGAGGGATGCTCTAGATTATAAAGGTTTTAAAATTAGTCGGATTATAACAATGTCTATGAAATACAAGTTTAGTTATAAATGTGAGGAAGTAGTTAAGATTGACAGCCAATAATTACCAAAAAAAACTTACTTTTGATATCTTTAGTCTGTAATCCATGATAATGGAGAGATTGAGGAAGATGTCGCGTATAGAATTAGAGCTGTGTGAGCAAAGTCGAGATATGCAACTAAAGTTTTATGTGATTGCCTTATCCAATGAAGCTAAAGGGAAAATTCGATAGGATAGATGTGAGACCAGCTTTGCTTTATGGGGTAGAATGTTGGGTGGTCAAGAAATAACATACTCATATGATGAGTGTAGCTGAGATGAAGATGTTGAGATGGATGAGTGGCAAGAAAAGAAAGGATATAATTCGAAATAAATACATTAGTGAGAACGTAGGTGTGGCTTCAATATGTGATAAGATGAGAGAAACAAAACTTGGGTGGGCTGGCCATATGCACTGCAGACCCAGTACAACACCTATTTGGAGGTGCGGGTTGGTTCTAATAGAAGGCTAAAAAGTATAAGGGGAAAGTAAAAAAGACATAGTTAGAAGTATTGAGAAAAATATGGGGACTTATGGACTCGCTGAATGTATGGTTCTTGATAGAGTATAATAGCAAATCCGCATTCTTATAGCCAACCCAAATAGTTGGGATAAATGTAAGGGGAAATTATTTATGCCACCTAGACCACAATTTTTAGGCATAATTCCCCTTCCATTAATCTTTAAATCAAACTACTAACACAACTACTGTTTATTTTTTGTAGCGGTCTCTAAGGAGGAAAATAGGTTTATTTTTTTTATAAAAATACCCCCATGAAAAAGAACCCCGATTATTTTTCTATAAATATGAAATTTGACACTTTAGATCGAGGAACTATGTCAAATTTGTGAGAGATAAATTATCTCAAATTTCAAGTTTTAAGAGAGACAAACTATCTATATTTTTTAGAGGCAAACTATCGAAAACATTTTAGAGAAAGAAATTATTTTAAAAATTTTAGAGAGAGAAACTCTATTAAATTTAAAGTTTTACCAAAAGAAACATTCCTAAAATTTCAAGATAGAGAAACTCTCTCAAATTTTTAGAGAGGGAGTCATGGGTTTATACAAAAGGGGTATTTTTATCCGAAATAAAGCTGTTTTCTTCCTTGGGAGTGGCTGAAAAAAACTAGTAATTATGTTAGCTATGTGATTGAAAAATATTGGGAAAGAATCATGATTCAGGGGCAATAAATAGATAGGGAAAAGTTTATAGTAAGCCAAGGCTTTAAACAATCAAATTAGAGCCTACCTCAGAAATTTCACTAGAGTAGATTGTTTTGATGCTTAAATATTCTCAAATTAATTATCTCGACATCAAGATGCATGAACATGAGAAAAAAAAAAATAGACTTCAAGTTTTGGAAATAGTGTATTTTGCAACACATTTTTGGGCCGTCAATTCTCAAGATTTTCAAGTTTTCACAGATATCTATACTATTTTTATAGCTTTAAACATTATAAATAAGGATGAAAATATATTTTAAGGCTATACAAAGGATTTTTAATATTTAAACCACATTTCTGAACATCAGTTAAAGGTAGGCTCTAATTTGATTGTTTAGAGCCTAGGCTCTGTACAAACCGCACCCATAAATATAACTTTCCCTAAACATAATATAGAGTTAGGGCATATACTGAATTAGGCATTTAGGGGTCAGGCCTCAAAAGGCGCAATGAGGAAACACAAAAAAACAGTGGCACAGTACTAGGTTGGGAATCTATACAGAGAGAGAGAGAGAGAGAGAGAGAGAGAGAGAGAGAGAGAGAGGATGTTCATGAGAGAGAGTGTCATATAGTTCGATCAACTGTGGAACGTGTAGAGAGAGAGAGCGTGTGTGTATTCATGAGAGAGAGAGCGAGAGAGATCATTCAATTGTGGCAGAGGCTAGAGATACTCCATTCAATTGTGGCATAGGTGTTAGATGGGAGAGAGAAGAGGGGAAGTGGGAGACTTCATGAGAAAGAAAGCCATGTAGAGAGAGAGAGAGAAAGAGAGAAGCAAACAGCTCAATCGTTTGTGGCAGAGATGTTAGATCCTTTTTTAAAATGCTTGTTTGCTCTGGTACGTTAAGACAAGCAGGCGGGAAACTCGTTGCAAATAATAACTTCCTTTCTGTCACTTACCCTATTTCTCTCCTATAAAACCCACCTATATTTCACGGTTTCATCATTTTAAGAACACCCCAAAACCCACTTTCTCTCTCTAGACTCTCTTCATGGAGGACCCATCACAAACTCACACTCTCTCTCTAAGCACCCATGGAGACCACTTCTACCGAAGCCTCTCATCCAAAGAGCCCTCTTTCTCAGAACTTGCTCTATCTCGTCCCCGTTTCAGCACAGCTTCCCCCTCTAAGACACAGCACCATGACCCACTACCCTTTCTCTTCAAAAAACAAGGAGCAAGAGCTTACACGATGTGCATCTCCTCTCTCCTGCAAAAAGATGGCCAAATTCTCTCTCTAGCCGTGTCTAATGGCTTTGTTTGCACAGGCACTGAAACCAAGTCCATCAGAGTATGGAAGCTACCTGATTTCACTATACATGGGTGCTTCAAAGCTGGTTGCTCAGGTGTTAGAGCACTTTCTCTCTCTAGAGGCCATGTGTTTGCAGCCTATAGAGACTTGAAGATACGGATGTGGCATGAGTCGCTGGAAAATTTCACGGCCGGGAGCCGCAAAGGCGGTCCGAAGTTCAGTAGTTATTTTCATAAAGATCATAGGACATCTTCAGCTAAACATTTAGGGGCGATCACTTCGTTGGTGGCAAACCCTTCCGAGGATCTTCTTTATTCGGCTTCAATCGATAAGACGGTTAGGGTTTGGAGGATATCGGATTTGAGGTGCATTGAGACCATTGAGGCACATAAAGAGGCTGTGAATGCCATTGCATTAGGTTCGTTTTTTTTCTTTTTTCTTTTTTTTGAAAGAGATATATAGATAAGACAGAGATATATAGACAAATGTGAGATGTGTGTGTGGGTGTATGTGAGTTTTGGTGAAAAGTTTTCATATCAGCTTAGTATTATCAGTTAAAAAAAGAAAAATTCATCAGTTTTTTTAATTTCACGAAATGGATCATACAAAGGTTCAGAACCAGGACACCTATCTCACTACAAAGTGGGTGTGTTTGGGAAAGGGGTTGGCACATACCCCATACTTCAGTTGCACATACCCCATATTTCAGTTGCACATGGTGACGTCTATTCCTACTGATAGTTTAAAAAAACCAGTAATTAATTAAAAACCTGGTAAGGCCTTTCTTTTCCCATTAAATTACCTTAAAAAAAAAAAAAAAAAAGAAAAGGACATAGTGGGTGTCACAAGCTATGCCAAAAAGCTTGGTTGATGCCTCTAAATTCTGTTAAAACCCTATTTCATGCCACAAAAAATGTCAATTAGAACTTTATATATCTCAATTATCGTATCCGAAGTGGAGAGACGTCTCCCCGAAAGTACGCTGGGCTGCAGTACATCGGGCTCAGATTGTCGCTCCTCTTTAGCAACGCTTTTTAATTAAAACCTATGTTTCATCATATTCAATGAGCTTTGGGGAAACAAGCAGCACGTGCATGTGTTTGTTCTTTTGTCATAATAAGTTGTGTATGGTTGTGAGTTTTATTTTGTGGTAAAAGTGTGCTGTGTGTGTGGTGCGTATTTTTGTCATAGTAAGTTATTGTGTGTGTGATTTTGCGGTAAACAGTGTGTATGTGCGTGTTTTTGTTTCAGTTTGAGTATTTGGCTTAATAATTCTTTATATTCACTTTAGGTGGAGATGGCACAGTGTTCACTGGCTCAGACGACACAACCGTAAAAGTATGGCGACGAAGCTATAGTGAGAAGCGGCGCCACTGCCTTGCAGTGAGCCTTTTCGTCAAATACTCGCCAGTGAAAGTCCTGGCCTTGGGCAACAGAGGCACTCACCTATATGCCGGTTGCTCAGATGGCTATGTCCATTTTTGGCTAAGGGCCTTTTTTTCAGGCCAAATGCAATATGGTGGTGTTCTAAGAGGGCACAAACATGTAGTCATGTGTTTAGCTTGTGTGGGTCATTTTGTAGTTAGTGGCTCAGCAGATTCAACAATTAGGGTTTGGTATAGGGATAGAGAGAACTTTCATATTTGTTTGGGTGTATTAGAAGGCCATAGAGGCCCAATTAAGTGCCTCGTAGCAGTTTTAGATCGCAATGACGATGGTGATGGTGATGATGATGATGACTATGACAATAATAATGATCGTGCCAGCCGAGGTTGTAAAGTATGCAGTGGAAGTGTTGATGGGATTCTAAAGGTTTGGCAGGTAAGAAGAATTAGCCACGCTTGTGAGGAACAAGTGCAAGAACAAGCTACTCAAAACTATTTTGAGATTTAAGAATTGTACTTTTATGTTCTAATCAATGTCTTCTACAAAACTATTTTGGAAATTTAATGGCTGGGGTGACATTTTTGCCAGGTTTCTCAAGTCACAAGATGATAATTCAGCTAAATTTCAAATCCATGCTTTTGATATTGATTTATGTTTAGATTTTATGTATATTTCTTAAGGTAGGACAAGAAAAATTAGGATTTTCTGCAAAGCCACATTGTGTTAATTCGCATAGTAGCTCTTAGATTTCTCCGTCAAATGGATGGTTCGAAGTTGACGGGAAATAATTTGGACCATTTCATTTTTCTCTTTCCTTTATTTATTTATTTATTTATTTATTTTGGGTAGTTCAGCAGTAAGAATCCGACTTGAGATATAGTATAACAATCTTCAAAATCTGATCATTCATGCCCAAGCCTGATTCCTAATTTGGGGATCTTCTTTTAAGTTCAAGGCTTTGCATTTTTTCATGGATTTTTTTATTTTTATTGTTGGGTAATTCAATAGGAATGATAGCTCCTACTCGTTTTTTAATTAGTTAATGGTTTTTGAAGCTGTCAGTGAAAATTTAAACCACAATATATAACCAAAATATGGGGTATGCTACCACCGCGACCTCATCCCCTTTTCCATATGGAATTGAATTTGGTGAAGAGTAAATATTAGTCGTAAAATTTTGGGATCATAGTGTCGGATCAATTATAATCTAACGAAAGCTACGGTAAACAATTCGGGCTTGGGCTTGATTGATTTGCAATACTACATCCCAATTTTGATCCTACCTGAACTATCCAAAGATTGAAATCCATGGTCACAAATGCAATCACTACATAGAAGCATCCAATTATTTGGCCATTATTTCTAACCCTAACTGAACTACCCAAAGAAGGAATCTATGATCACCAATGTAATCACTAAACAGGAACATCCATTTGTATTGCCATTATTTTTAACCATAGGCTTTTTAAAATCATATGGATCATGTTGGCAAAATAACTAGATTTTGTGAGAATAGTACATGTCCATTCCCAATTTAGAATGAACAGGAAAATAATGCATTCCAAAGACCCAAGTGCAATTATTGACCAGAAAAAATTTACGTTTGGTGCATTTTTTTTCTCTCTCTAGAATGAAGCAATATAAATGTAGAGTATTTTCTATTGGATAAATTGAATCTGCTCCTTCATTCTCTCTGTAGAATTAAATATTTTATAAATGTATTTGTACTTCGAGCTGTCCAGTAACATCGATGTTGGTTGTGTTTTAATCGCAAGAGTTTATTGTCCATGCCACGCTAGGCTGTGCAGCCCTCAGGCAGTTTTTAGAGTGAGAAATTTTTTTTTTATTTTATAAATTTACGTACGAACCATATTGAATTGTCAATTATAAAATGGGATTACTTTTGTTTCAAATTATGCGCAGCACGTCCATTTGTGACTTTTTTTTTTCCAAATTACTTCCAGTCGGTAATACAAACACCGGATATATAAGTTTATATTGTGCAAAGTAAAACAGTTATCTATTGTTTGACATATCAAATAATTACCTGTTATCCCTAAAATCAGCAAGCCCTCTCTCTCCAATCATGGTGACTCTGTAATCTCTGTCATCCCTTTTCCCTCACTCTCCCCCCAAACCATCTCTCTCGAGCCTTCTCTCTCACGCTCTCTCTCCCAACAGTCGAGGAGAAGACCTAAAACAAAATTCCCATTTTCTCTGAGCAAGATAATGCGAGCCATGAAAAGCCATGCAAGAATACTTGGGTGGCTTACATGAAAGAGAATTAGAGTTACATGGCCAATAATGGCTTGATTCAACTGGGGTGTGAAGTGGTAGTTAAAGAGTATGGCAGACATTGAGATTATTCCTTTCGTCAATCTTACTGGCTTTGCTAATCAAGAATAAAAAAACTCCTACTCCATGGATAGACCACTAGAGGATGCGAATACCACAACGAAACAGAGACTTAATCATCAATATAACAAAAGAAATGCCCAACCATGGAATTACAGAAGGTTCGCTGTAATAGATGCCACCAGGGAGAGTATTTCGATGTTTGAGAAATTTTATATTAAATTTTGGCTCTAACCATGATGCACTTACCACAACCCGATTCAATGGATGGTATGTAGTTGTGAGTGCAAAAACCCAATCCGAGAGAGAAAAGAGTTCAAAATCCACTTCAAAGAATAACAGGAAGCAAGAGAGATTCCAAAACCCAAGAGCATGAGAGAGAGTCCAATCCTTCCTACCCATTCTCTCTCTCGACCAGAAGTTCCCCAATCTCTTGACCCGAGCCGCATTTGCAAATTTCTCAAGAATTAATTGAAACTCATTTTCTTGGTTCTTCAGCTCCCGATCTTTCTCTCTCTAACTTTATCATAGACACAGAGAGTTTTAACACCGGATAGCAAATACTAAAAAACTTAAAAAACAGGAAGCTATCTGGTATTTCAAACACTGGACAATTGTTTTACTTTGTACGATATAAACTCCACATGTCTAGTGTTCGCCTTATCGGACAGGGGGTAACTTAGAAAAAAAAAAAACCCATAAAAAATGATGGGTTGCCACCAGTAATTTGAGAAAAATATGATCCCATTTTATAATTGAATCTCCCAATATGATTCGTACGTGAATTTCTCTACTTGTTTTTTTTTTTTGCCCTTAGATAAGTTTCCAAGGAATCTCTCTCGACTTCTAGACACCTCCAGGAAGAGAGACTTGAAAGAAGATCATTACAGCTTCACAGTTCCAATCAAATAGTCTCTCTCTCTCTCTCCAACTTCACAGTTCCAGTTAGATTGTCTCTCTCTCGCACACACTTCGACTTCGTACCCTATAAATGGGTTTTTAGGGGGAAACATGGTTGAAGCTTGTTTTACTAACGATCCCAAGTTACCTTATGAATTAGGGTGGCAGCGGGTTGGGTACGGGTCGGGTCTAGCTGAACTTAGACTCAGACCCGAATTGATTCACTCCAGGTTTTGAACTCGGACCCAACCTGTCGAGTCCAAAATTTGGACCTATACCTATACCCATCAGGTCTTGGGTCTCGGGTCTGCCCCATCGGATCTCAAGTCCATTGTCACCCTCATTATTAATCTCTATTTTTCTTTTGTTTTGCCTGCCATCAATACCTGTATTGGCAACAAGGTCACAATCACCTGCTATTAGATTTCAAGCCCTGTGATTTGTTGTTTAATAGCTAAAGGTGATTACTAGTTCTAATTATATATGATCTTTAATACAGCCAAATGAATAGGGCTTAAAGTAAAGTATTTTATCTCTTAAAATTTACGGGCAAGGATTGGGTACGGGTCAGGTCCTGTTGGACCCGGACCCGACCCACCGGGTGCAAGTGCTAGACCCATAGTCAACCCGTGTCGAGTATACCTGGCGAGTCCCAAGTCTAGTCCGGGCACCCCTACTTAAGCCTTATTAAAGAGGGTGTTAAGCTTGTGCATTTAGCAAAGGAAAAAGTTTTTATAGAGCCGAGGATCTAAACAATCAAAAATTTTACTAGAAGAGGTTGTTTTAATGTTCAAATATCTTCAAACTGATCATCTCGACATCACGATGCATGGACATGAGAAAAAAATAGATTTCAAGTTTTGAAAATAGTTTATTTTGTAATGCATTTTTGGACCGTCAATTTTTAAGATTTTCAAGTTTTCATGGATCTGTTGATCGACACTATATTTGAAGCTTTAAATTTATAAATAAATATGGAAATATATTTTTAAAAGCATCACAAAGATTTCTAGTATAGAAACCACATTTCTTGACACCATCTGAAGGTAGGCTCTGATTTGATTGTTTAAAGCCTAGGCTCACCCTTTAACAAAACATTAAGTGGAATTAAGCCGGGCCTGGCTACTACCGGAGGGCTGCTACTCGATTGCTGACCCTAGGCAAGCGACTAGGTGGCCTGCTGAGGCTTTATAGAATTTAACAAAAGAGCGCTCGGGCGGCAACGTCGCACGGCCCGAGTCCACCTCGCCCAGCCCTAGGGCCAAGTTTTGTGACCCAAGCATGAGTTTTTCTGGTTCAGACCGACCAGGTGGCTGACCTATTGCCATCTCTAAATCTAAGATGTAGCCATAAAACTAGAGCACGAGACTCTACCCAGCGGGGAAGCAAAGTATTATAGGTCGATGGGGTTTTATGAGTCAGCCATTGTGCATATGCGGGCCCACTTAAAACTATTTTAAAAATGGACTTTTATTCTAAACTTAGGGATGGGCAATGATTTCATACAAATAGTAGTATAATGCAACTACATTAAAAAATCATGTTAGAAACATTTGTTTGACGCGAATCTTTACATGTACACTATTTTCATTCTAAAAAACAGTTCTAAAAAAAGACGAAAAATCGCCTTAGAAAGCCCTCCATTTTAGTGAGATGATTAGATATAGACCACAGAAATATTTTTTTATTCACAAAATTTTATATAGCATTATCATCATTAGATTAACAATGTTAAAAAAGAAAAAGGCGATTTTGAATTTGTCAAGGCCTAAATGTTGAAATTCACCAAACGGACGGTCGACATTCATTGTCGGATGATACTAAGTTTGACCATATCTAGGGTGCAAATGAAGAGAATGTGTGAGCAAAATTTGGGATCATATAAATGCCAAAAACATAGTTTTCTAGAAGTATGGTTGCAATATACTATGATAAAACCATGTAAAATTTGGGATCATACAAATGCCCTCTAGGGATTTATGATCTAGGTTAAGATGATCATGAATACCAGAAAAAAAAAAATTTCATTGTCCAAAATCTGATTTTTTTAGTGATTTACATACATACCCTAAAATTTGAGGTAAAATACAAAATGGTCTACTTATATGTGAAAATTACAAAGAAAGTCTGTCAACCCGCTTTTTTTTATTTTTTTCAAAACTGTCCTTGGTCAACCCAAATTTCCTTTTTTTTTTTTTTTTTTCGTTTTTTCGTGAACCCCCAAGCTTTAAGGCACTGTCGTACTAACGAAAAAACTAATAAAATTTTAAAAAAACAAAAATCAAAATTTGGTTTTGCTGAGATATATTTTTTTAAAAAAAGAAAGTGG